TCCGCTGGACCCCCATCCAGTATTTCAACAACAAAATCGTCTGCGACCTCATTGAAAACAAGCTGGTGAGGACTGGGTCAGCTTTGCGGGTCCGGGTCTTGCCGGGCCTGGAGCCGGGCCTGGGAGAGGGGAGGGGGGATTCGGGCCCCCCTGCTCCCCGCTGGGGGACAGATGGAGCACACTGAAATATCCCATCAGCCACCTCATCCACTCACTCTGCCCACCTGCTTGCATTTCACTTGTTCACTCAATGAACCTTCCGCCCCAGGGGCCCTGGGGGGCTCAGTCGGTTAAGCATCTGACTCTTGATTTCAGCTCAGGTCATGATGTCACAGTTCATGACTTTGAGCCCCATGTGCTCTGTGCTGACGGTGTGGAGCCTGCTTGGGATTCTCTCTCCCTTTTCTCTCTCTCTCTCTCTCTCTCTCTCTCTCTCTCTCTCTCTCTCTCTCCAAAAATAAATAAACTTTAAAAACAAAACAAAACACCTTCCCCATGGCAACCTGCTCAGAGACAGAGGAAGGGGTCAGGCTGACAGGTCCCCCACCAGGTCATCCCGGTCTGGGAGAAGGGGTGAGGATCCCCGGTGGGGTTCCTCACCCCGTCCCGCCCCCCACCCCAGCTAGCTTCCACAGCCACTCCCCACCCCCCACTTTTGCTCTTGTATGTGGAAGCCCCGCCTCTTCCACTCCCTCCGCGCGATCAGGGGAGCCGGATGGGGGCAGGGCCCCGCCAGGCTGAGCCACCGCCCGCCTCCCCGACCCGCAGAGCCCCCCGGGCATCATGAGCGTCCTGGACGACGTGTGCGCCACCATGCACGCCACGGGCGGCGGCGCCGACCAGACCCTGCTCCAGAAGCTGCAGGCGGCAGTGGGCACCCACGAGCACTTCAACAGCTGGAGCTCGGGCTTCGTCATCCACCACTACGCGGGCAAGGTGCGCGGTGCCCCGCCCCCGACCGGCTGCAGCCTCCCAGCCCCCTGGTGAAAGGAGCCTGCAGGGAACCCCGGTCAGCGCTGCAGAACTCCAGCGACCCCCTTCTCCACCCCTCCCACGCAGCCCCAGGAACTGGCCTGGGTCCCCCACCGTGTTCCTTCAGCCAGACCTGCAGAAACCCACTGGCCCCCCGACCAAGGTCACAGCTCTCCTTACTCCCAGCGCAGCTCCCACTAACAGGGCGGAAACTCCCTCCCATTGACCCCACGTTGTGCACCAGACCCTCCCCCCCAATCTGAGCTGCAAACCCCACTAACCCCTGACCCAGGACACGGCCTTCCAACTCAAACTCTAAGGCCTACGCGGCAAGCCGCTGCCCTCCAAAATGGGCTGGAGCCCCCTCCGGACCCCTACCCAAGACTCTAGAAATCCGCTGGCCTCTGACCCTGGCCACGGTCTTCCACCCTGCAATTGACAGGACTGCAGACTCTCCCACTGACCTTCGGTGGTCAGCGGACACCCCCAGGGACCCCCTGCCCAGGCTGGAGCCCCCTGCCCCTTATTGTGAACTATAGGTACCCCCCCCCGATCCTGTCAGCCCAGAGCAGGCCCCCACAGGACCCCTGACCGCCTGGGCTGTAAGCAGCACCCCTCAGGTCTCAGCCCCGCATTCCCCCCAACCCTGTCTCCCTCCAGGTCTCCTACGATGTTAACGGCTTCTGCGAGAGGAACCGGGACGTCCTGTTCTCTGACCTCATAGAGCTGATGCAGACCAGTGAGCAGTGAGTGACCTCCGGGGACACATCCTCCTAGGGATTGTGGGGAGGCTGGGGACCACTCTGTCTTCCCCAGAGCTCCCATCACGCCGCAGACTTTGTGAGTGTGGCTGTCCACAGGGACGGTGTTTCTAGTGACTGGTTAGCCCCCCGAGACCCACAGGAAGAAGTGAGGAAAGCCCTCATCCTTCTGGCCCATCCAGTGCTCCCCTGCGCCAACCCAATCCACGTGGGGTGTGGACGGTTTCCCCGGTTACACCGTGAGAACACAGCGCGCCCTGCATTTTTCCGTGTTAACACATATGGACCCATGGCTCCCATCTCCCTGACCGAAGCTGCATGCCGGCGTCCATTTTTTGCCTTTTTAACCTCAAAAATGTGTCCAGGCTCTGCTGTGTGCCAGGCACGATTTGAACCTGTGGGGACGGAGGGGACCGGACAGGCCGGAGAACACGGCTGCTCTCACTGAGTGGAGAGCCACGCGAGGAGACAGGTGTTGAACTAGGGAAAAACAAGGCAAATAGAATATAGTGTCGCATGAGAGTCGTAAGACAGTGGTCCGTAAAAGGCTGAAATTGCGGCTCCTGAACACCCTTGGAGCTGCCTACAAATGCGGCACCTCAGACCCCACCCCACGCCCACTAAATCAGAATCTGCGTTTCAACGTGACGCCCTGATGCCTCCTCGAGAGCCACGCGCACATTTGAACTTGAGATCCAATGATCTAGACCGGCACTGTCCCTCTTACCCCACATCCACATAGAAGCCGAGCTACACGCATCATGACTTTCAAACAGCTGTGTCCAGGTACAACTTGCATGCCATTAAATGCGCTCGCCTCGAGAAGGGATTTTTAGCCAGCGCGTAGGATTGTACAACCATGACCCCTACCCGTCTGGGAACATCTGCATCAAACCAGAAAGATCCCTCGTGCCAAACTGCACCCAAACCTTATTCCCAGTATGTGTGCAATTTTAAATTCCCTAGTGCACACTGAAAAAGTAGAAAGGTGGGGGCGCCTGGGGGGCTCAGTCGGTGAAGCGTCTGACTCTTGCTTTCGGCTCAGGTCATGATCTCGCGGTCCGTGAGTTCGAGCCCCATGTCGGGCTCTGTGCTGATGGCTCAGAGCCTGGAGCCTGCTTGGGATTCTATCTCTACTCCTCCCTGGCTCTCTCTCTCTCTCTCTCTCTCTCAAAATAAATAAACTTAAAATAAATTAATTAAAGTAAAAATCAAATAAATACGGAAAGTAAAAAAGGTGAACAGGTGACATTAAAAAATATTTTCTTAAGCCCAACATACCCCAAATATCATTTCAACATATACTCCATATAAAAATTATCCATGAATGGGTATGAATTAATTATGAACGGATGAACTACACCCTCTTTCCCCATATTGTGGTACTCTGTGAAATCTTTTATGGATTTAACACTCACAGCGCATCATGATTTAGACAGGCCGGGTCTCAAGGACCTCGAGAGCCACAGGTGACCAGGGGCCGCCATATTGGAAAGGACAGAGCAGTCGTTCTCAAAGTAGGGTTCCTGGGCCAGCAGCAGCAGTATCGGCTGGCAACTCACTAGAAATGATCGGGCCCCAGCCCAGATGTGTGAATGAGAAACTTAAGAGGGATGAGGTGGGGCCCAGCCGTCCGTGTTTTAACAAGCTCTCCTGGTCACTCCGGTATCCACTGGAGCAAGCATTGAAAAGGAAAACTAAGATGATAAAGGGCTGGAGATTATGGTAGGCATCACTCTTTTTTTTCTTTTTTTACCTTCTTTTATTTCCCTTTTTTTAAAGTTTATTTATTTATTTTGAGAGAGAGAGTGAGCAGTGGAGGGACAGAGAGAGAGGGAGAGAGAGAATCCCAAGCAGGCTCTGCACTGTCAGCGCTGAGCCCCATGCGGGGCTCGAACGCACGAACCTTGAGATCATGACCTGAGCTGAAGTCAAGAGTCAGACGCTCAACCGGCGCCCCTCACTTTCTTTTACTTTCTAATCGTGATAAAATACACACAATATAAAATTTACCTTTTCGCCGTTCGGAACTGAACAGTTCGGTGGCCTTAAGGCACATTCACAACGTCGGGCAACCATCCCTACTCTCTAATTCCAGGGCGTTTTCACCTTCCCAAATATGTACCGATCGAGCAGTCCACTCATCCCGGGCTGTGATGGTCAGGGAAGGTCCCCCGGAGATGAGGGAGAGAACTGTGGATGTGCCAGGGCGTCGAACCAATCCCCTGCTGAGGGGCGATGTGACTGTGCCCCTGATGGCGACCACAGGCAGGGTCACAGCAGCAGGCTCCCTTGTCTGTGGCTCTTTGCACACGCACGTGAGCCTGTGCATGGAGGATCGTTCCTGAAAGGGGACCTGCCCCTGTTGCCGGAGATGCCGCATCCCTTGATAGGTGTTCGTACTTAATTTAACTTTGTTCTATTTTAGTTGCTACCCAGGCCAGGCGTGGTCACCGAGGCAGAAGGAACAGGTGCAAACAAATCAAACCAAAAGGACAAAAGCAACTCCCCGGCTCTCAGCATTACACCCCCCACACTCAGGGAGAACTACGCTTTGCAGCACGTCCTCTAGGTCATGGGCGTCTAGGTAGCCTCCCCTCTGGGAGAGGGCACCTCTGATTCTCCTGTGCCCCCTGCGCAGGGCCTTCCTCCGCATGCTGTTTCCTGAGAAGCTGGATGTAGACAAGAAGGGCCGCCCCAGCACCGCCGGCTCCAAGATCAAGGTGGGTCCCGGGGCAGGAGAGGAGGAGCTGGGCCCGGGGAGGGCTGGGGACAGTTCTCCACTCATCCCAGCCTCTGTCTCTCCTGCGTCCTGGGGCCTCTGCCCCTCTCTCTGGCACCCTCTGTCCAGCAGGGTCTCCTTCCAACTCTGGGGGTGGGGGGGGGTTCTACCAGCTTCCTTGATGTCCCCCTGACTCCCTAAATCCAAACTGAAGCGTCCATCCTCTTAAAAATGTTTTGGCCTTTTGGCTATGTGCCACTTGGATTGTGGGGGAAAACACGTAAAATGGACCATCTTAACCACTGCTAAGTGCATAGCTCAGGGACATCGAGCACACTCACACTGGGCCACCATGCCTACCTACCATCCGTCCCCAGGACTTTTTCATCTTCCCAAACTGAGACTCTGTCCCCATGGAGCACTGACTCCCCGCCCCCTGCCTCACCCCCGACACCCACTATCTTTTCTGTCCTGTGGACGGGACTCCTCTAGGGACCTCCCGTGAGTGGAATCAGGCAGGACGTGTCCTTCTGTGTCTGGCTTACCTCACTCAGCGTAACGTCCTCCAGGTTCGTCCCTGTTGTAGCTGGGGTCAGGACAGCCTTCCTTTTTAAGGCTGAAGAATCTTCCAGTGTACGAACGGGCCACATTCTTCCTATCCACTCCTCCGTGGATGGACACTCGGTTGCTTTCACCTTTTACCTAGTGAATAGTGCTACGATCAACTGGGTGGCCCATCCTGAAAACATTTTAATGACCATGCCTTGAGCACTTAGTACTGGCAGCAAATGCGGGGACGCTTTCCGTGCATGGGACTAATCCCACCCGGGGGACGGGGGGACCAAGGCTCAGAGAAGCACCGTCACTGGCCCCGATCACACAGCAGAGGACTCTCATGCCGCTCCCTCCAATCCCCCCGCCTGGGACGATTTCCTTTCTAGTCTCCTCCAAGGGACTAAAATGCACAAGGCTGGCCTCTCAGGCACACACACGTGATTCCCTACTCCCGGAGGACCGGCTCCCCGAAGGACAGGCAGAAATGTTCTGTGCACATGTTCTGAGTGCTCAGCTAGCCACCCGCAAATGTTTGCTGAGCACTTGTGATGTGCCAGATTGAACGTTGAGTGCTGTGAACACGAGAGCTCCTCGTCTGAGGTTGTCAACCCTGCACGGGGTGTGCCAATGGAGGTATGCACAGACCAGGGACACCTGACCCCGTGGTGCACTGGGAGCCAGCCCCCACTTAGTGCGTCTCTGCCTCCTGGGTCTGTATCCAGGCTGGGAGGAGAGAGGGCCCGAGGGTCCCATCGCTCCACCGCCCCCACCTTCTCCTCCGCCTCAGAAACAAGCCAATGACCTGGTGGCCACGCTAAAAAGATGTACACCCCACTACATCCGCTGCATCAAGCCCAACGAGACCAAGAAGCCCCGCGACTGGGAGGAGAGCAGGTGACTACCAGCTGGACCCATCCACACTTCCTGTGCCCCCAGACGGACCCCTCCCTCCAGAACCCGCCCAGGGTCATGGGACTCATCCCAAGACTAACCAGGGCTGACCCCTAGGACCAGTGCAAACCTCCTCAGGGCCCCCGGTTTATACCTACTACTGACCACGACCATCCAGACTGCAGGGATGACCCCAGACTGAGTGCAGGATGACCCAGGAACTAGCACAGTCCCCTCAGTCCCCAAACCCTAGGACGCACCCCTAGGATGAACTCTGGAACTGACCACAGAACTGTCACAGACCTCTCCCTCCCCAGAAGCTGGGTCCCCACCCCCACAGGACTGACTCCGAGGCTGACCCCTGGCACCGGCACTGAAGTCACCCCCCACACACACACTGCCCCCGGCGCGAATCCAGACCCACTGGGCCCCACGCCTGCTCCTTCCAGCCCTGCCCAGCAGCACCCACCCACTCCCAGGACCAGGAGTACCCCGCAGGGGACTCAAAGTGCCTTCCCCTTTAGGGTCAAGCACCAGGTGGAGTACCTGGGCCTGAAGGAGAACATCAGAGTACGCCGGGCTGGCTTTGCCTACCGTCGCCAATTCTCCAAATTCCTGCAGAGGTGAGGTGCCCCCGCCCACCCCTGGCCCGAACTGCCATCCCGCAGAATATCCACCAGCGGGGACGTGGACTCCAAACCCTCCCACGTCCTCTGCCTCCAGGTACGCCATCCTGACCCCGGAGACGTGGCCACAGTGGCGTGGGGATGAACGTCAGGGGGTCCAGCACCTGCTTCGGGCAGTCAACATGGATCCAGACCAGTACCAGATGGGGAGCACCAAGGTCTTTGTCAAGAACCCCGAGTCGGTGAGTGTGAGAGGCAGACAGACTTCTCCGTCTGGAAAGCGGGGGGAGGAGAAGCCCCCCGTGCAGGACTGGGGTGAGGATTAGACAAAACGGGAAGTCTCCTGCCCAGTGTGTGGCACATAGCAGTGCTCAGAAAAACCGGAATTAGCTGGACGGTCCCCTGGTGGCCAGGAGGCAGGTAGGGACACGTGTGGCCACCTGTGGTGACAAGCCCCTTGTGAGGGAGAAGAACTTTCTATCCTTCTTCTCTTTCTGCTTTCTTCCTTTTTAACTAAGTTCTATTTCTTTAATGTTTATTTATTTACTTTTGAGAGAGAGAGCGCGAGGGGGGAGGGGCAGAGGGAAAGGGAGAATCCCAAGCAGCCTCCGCACAGTCAGCCCAGAGCCCGATGCGGGGCTCGAACCCACGAACCGTGAGATCATGACCTGAGCCAAAACCAAGAGTCGGACGCTTAACCGGCTGAGCCACCCAGGCGCCCCTTAACTAATTTCTTTCTGTACCTTCTCCTAGCCTGCTTTCTCTGTCCTCGTCCTTCATTGCTTCATGGACACATGGAGTCCCTGGGCTGGAGACTCGTGTCAAAGTGGCGGTTGGCTTATCCCAAGACCTGCCCCAGGCCCCGATCTGTCAAAGAAAACCCTCGTTCTGTACCCTCCAGTGCAGAAATAACCCCTCCAGCACCTTATCGGCCGCTCTCAGCCTTTTCTCAAAAGGTCGGGAGCACCACCTAGCGTACGGGGCCTCTGCCTTCAGGGGAGAAACAAAGTGACGACGACAAATCTGTCTTGGGGACCTACTGGATAGCATTGCGACTCTAGTGAACAGCGCTGTATTATATACTGGCAGGTAGATCTTCAGGGTTCTCACCACAAAAGAAATGGTAACTATGTTATGCGTGGAGGTGCTAGCTGATCTATAGCAGTCACCATTCTGCAATATATACATGTATCCAGTCAACGCCTGTACGCCTTAAATTTACACAATGTCACGCGTCAGTTATACCTCAGCAAAGCTGGACAGGGGTAGTTTTTTTTTTTAAAGCAACAATGACAGGGCGCCCAGGTGGCTCAGTTAGGCATCTTGACTTCGGCTTGGGTCATGATCTCGCAGTTCGTGAGTTCGAGCCCCGTGTCGGGTGTAGAGATTACTTAAAGATATAAGTGTAAAGGGGCAGCTGGGTGGCTCAGCTGGTTAAGCATCAGAGTCTCGATTCTGGTGCAGGTCACGACCTCACTGTTCGTGCGATGGAGCCCCGCGTTGGGCTCTGCGCTGACAGTGCAGAGCCTGCTGGAGATTCTCTCTCTCTGTCTCACCCCCTTCCATGTGTTTTCTCTCTCAAAACAAATAAATAGGGGCGCCTGGGTGGCGCAGTCGGTTAAGCGTCCGACTTCAGCCAGGTCACGATCTCGCGTTCCGTGAGTTCGAGCCCCGCGTCGGGCTCTGGGCTGATGGCTCAGAGCCTGGAGCCTGCTTCCAATTCTGTGTCTCCCTCTCTCTCTGCCCCTCCCCCGTTCATGCTCTGTCTCTCTCTGTCCCAAAAATGAATAAACGTTGAAAAAAAAATTAAAAAAAAAACAAATAAATAAAACCAAAAAAAAAAATGAAGTAAAATAAAATCTTAAAAAAATTAAAAATTAAAAATAAATAAATAAATAGATAGATAGATAAAAACCTGGGTGGCCCAGTAGGTCGAGTGTCCGACTTCAGCTCAGGTCATGATCTCGCAGTCCGTGAACTTGAGCCCCGCATCGGGCTCTGTGCTGACAGTTCAGAGCCTGGAGCGTCCTTCGGATTCTGTCTCGGGCCCTCCCCTGTCTGCACTCTCTGTTTCTCTCTCAAAAATAAACAAACATTAAAAAAAAATTTTTTTTTAATAAATAAGGCAGTGCAAAGAATCCCCTAGGGCCTGCCTGGCCACCTGCTGCTATGTGAGGATTGGATGGCAAATCGGGAGTCGGCCTTCTGAATGTGTTGTGCTGGCTCACTAATCCAAGCTGGATTATTGGCACGCGGCACTTGATCTCAGGGTCGTGTGTTCAAGCCCCACATTGGGCATAAAACTTACTTTAAAAAAAAGAAAGAAAACAAAAGAAAACAAAAGGAAAAGGAAAAGGAAAAGGAAAAGGAAAAGGAAAAGGACAAGGACAAGGAGAGGAGAGGAGAGGAGAGGAGAGGAGAGGAGAGGAGAGGAGAGGAGAGGAGAGGAAGAAGAAGATAGTCTGTTTCGGGAGGTCGGGTTCTCTGTCCCCAAACTTGTCTGTACCGATCTCTGGAGCTTTCCCTATGGATGTGCTCTGCTCCAAGAAATGAGAACAGTCTGGAATTGCATCCAGAGTAGATCTTTTTACTGACAGAAACTAGCATCACAAACCAAAATTGCCCATGACTGGAACTAATCGGGAACCATTCAAATTGTAGCAGTTGAGAAAGAAAGGGAGGGAGGGTCAGAAAAAGAGGAGAGACAGAGAAAGAGAATCCATCCTGCTGGTTGCAGGCAGTTTGCAAAATCTGACTCTGAAAGAAACATGTAAAAATTGACACTGGGAAAAAACAAACAAACAAACAAACAAACAAAAACAGAGTCAACAAGGCTAGCACTGGCTAAGGCTATCTAAGGTAAAATCATATTCTGACAAAAATTATTTCCACGGCCGGAAACAATGAAATTCACACAGGGAAAAGTTTGGTGGAAAAATGTTGTAAGGAAAAACAAGACTGAAAATTTGCACAGGAAAAAACTGGATACAGTTTTGTAACTGTTTATAACTATGCTGTATCACAATTGATCAAAGAATTAAGTTACCCTAACGGAGGTGGGGACTCTGCCAGCCAGCCCACATTGGGATGATTCTGATTTGAATTTGGCTCCTTGTACACATGAACTCAAACTATCCTTGGCTGTTTCACACACCTGCTGGCCTTCCCTGCCTGTCACGCTGCGTGTGTTCCTTTCCTGTGGCTGCTGTAGTGAAGTACCACCGACTGGATGGCTGAACCCAACAGAAATTAATTTGCTCACGTTTCTGGAAGCTGGAAATCCAACACCAATGTGTCCGCGGGGCCACGGTCCCTCTCAAGGCTGCAGGGAAGAGCCTTCCTTGACTCTCCCTAACTTCCAGTGGGTGCCGGCCATCCTTGCCATTCTTGATCACTCCAGTCTCTACCTCTGTCATCACACGACCTTCTCCTCTGTGTCTGGGTCCAAACTTCCCTCTTCTTCTAAAGAAACCAAATCACACTGGATTGACGGAGGGCCCGCCCCCACCCCCACCCCACTGTAGCATGACTTCATTTTAACTTGATTACGTCTGCAAAGACCCTCTTTCCAGGTTAAGGTCACATTCACAGGTTCTGGGTGGACATGAATTTCGGGGAAACACTATTCAACCCAGCACACCAGGATAAGCTCAGATCGGGGGCCTGTCTCACCCACCTTAAGCACACCCTGATCTGCCCTCTGCATATGAAGGAGACGAATTTCAAACTCTGTGGACAGGAAGATTCCTCTCCCAACAATGAACACAAATCCCCTTCCCTGAGCAGAAATAACGAGGTTGGAGGACACTGGTCTCATCTGCCCTAAACAGCTAAGGGAAGGAGGACTCCTGGCTGACCAGCCCACCCCCGCTTCTGTAAGGCTGGTCTCCCTTTATTCCTACCTGTCATCCCCTCAGCGAACTGCAAAATGCACCTACTACCCCCCAGGCAGTAGTTGGACACGCGTTGTACACAGACCCACTGACCCACAGGATATCAGCCTGAGAAACAAAACGATACAGAAATGCCACTCGATTCCCTGCAGGATGTAAAGCTGCGGTCGGTCGTGGTGGGGTTTTTTTTTTTTTTTTTTTCTTCCTGGTGAAGATTCCCCACCTTCCATGAACATTTATAAACACCCACAGCTTTAAAAGTCCTCCAAGGTATGTCTTTTAAAGTGCATTTGAGCCAAGTATCTGCAGAATTATTTTAGTCCCTGCAGGGACCCCTGGGGTTTCATCAGCCGTCAACCATCTTGGTCAGCAAAGCAGGCAGCCAGGCTTTAAGCAGTGATGTGATGTCAGTGTATTTGACAAATCCCTCTGGGTGACGTGCTAATTATTTTTCTCAAGAATGCCTAATTTTATTTTCAATAGTTTCCATCTCGGTATTTCCCTGACTGACAATGCTGTCCCTTTTATTGCTAAATTTCTGTTTGAATGACAATGTTCCCGAGCTATCTGTCCTACTGCAATAGGTTGTCCTGTTCTCTGACCAGCACCCCCATTGTTCTTATTACTGTAGATTTATAACTTCATATCCAGTGAGTTCCTCTCCTTGATAAGTTCGCTAGTATTCTAAGTGAATAGACGTCCTTCACGGCATTTCAACTCTGACTTGCACTAAGATAGTTTATACCCTAAATCCCCTCTGGACAGAGACTCTTAAAAGTCAGAAGTCTGCTTTCTGCAAAAAGCTTCTTTTCCAGGGCTGGCATGTGTGGCTGTGCAGGTTGTACACTGAACAACCAGATGGTCTCTGGGTACAGCACAGTCCTGTACATCAGGTTTTCATATTTACAGTATCGTGGTCTTCTAAGATGCACATTGGTTCACATTCCTACCATCTGTGAAACTGGGGTGCACCACACATGGGCGACATGCCATCCCCTTAATTAGCAGAGTCAGAAACTGTGATGTTATGCCATGTCTGGTGAGCCTGCACAGCTAGTCAGAGGCAGAGTTGGGATTTGAAGCCCACAAGACCAGCCCACGGTTACAATTTTGCACGGGGGCTTGTGCCCCATATCGGGAGGGAACCCTGTGTCCGGTCATTTGGAGAAAGAAAAAAATTTTTTGACCATAGCATCTGTGCACGTGTGCAGGTGCCCATAAGCAAAAGCAAGTGGGTGGGGTGGAATCGGGAAAGACCCACCGCCCCTCTTTTGCCCAGCTCTTCCTTCTGGAGGAGATGCGAGAGCGGAAGTTCGATGGCTTTGCCCGCACCATCCAGAAGGCCTGGCGACGCCATGTGGCAGTCCGGAAGTACGAAGAGATGCGGGAGGAAGGTGAGAGCCTGCAGGTGGGAGGCTCAGGGAGGGGACAGACCGATTCAGAGGAGCCAGGCCACAACCTCTGCCCCCCACCCGGTATCTCCACAGCGTCCAACATCCTGCTGAACAAGAAGGAGCGGAGACGGAACAGCATCAACCGGAACTTCGTCGGGGACTACCTGGGGCTAGAGGAGCGGCCGGAGCTGCGTCAGTTCCTGGGCAAGAGGGAACGCGTGGACTTCGCTGACTCGGTCACCAAGTACGACCGCCGCTTCAAGGTGAGGCACTAGCAGGTGGACATGTCTGGGGCCCTGGCCTCAGGCTGGCATCCCCACCAGAGGTACACCCTCACCCTGCCCAGATACACCCGTCCTGACGTATACATCCACCCTGCCTAGATACACCTGTCCCATCACAGGTACACCTTCATGCGGCCGAGATACACCTGTCCACAGGTATACACTCAAGTAGTGTATTAAACATGCCCTCATACAGCCCAGACACACCTGCCCATCACATATAGCTGCACCTGGCCAGACACAGCTGTCCACAATTGCACCCTTACCTCACCCAGAAGCCCTGACCATAGGACCACCCTCACTTATCCCGGACACAACTATCCATTAAGTATACCCTCAGACAGTCTAGACGGATCGGTCAGTTAGCCATATCTTCATCTGGCCCAGATACACCTGTGCACGGGTGCACTCTCACCTGGCCTGGGCACCCACGTCCAGCAGGTGCACCCTCACCTATCCTGTACCTGCTCAGTGGCCCAGAAACCTCTCTCTAGCCAATATACCCTTACTTAGCCTCCTATTTCTTACGTAACGTAACCACTCCTATATCTTCACGTGGAGGGAAGCCCTCAGCTGGCCTGTCCTTCACCACCCCCCTCCCCGAGGCTGATCCCCTAGAGCCAGGCGGCCCATGTCCAGGGCTCCAGCCACGAGCTCTGGTCCTGCATCCTCACAGCCCATCAAGAGGGACTTGATCCTGACGCCCAAGTGTGTGTATATGATCGGGCGGGAGAAGGTGAAGAAAGGACCAGAGAAGGGCCAGGTGCGTGAGATCCTGAAGAAGAAGGTGGAGATCCAGGCCCTTCGGGGAGTTTCCCTCAGGTGAGGCCAGGCCCTCGCCTGCCCCACTCACCCTCACCTGCCCCTTGTCATCTTCAGGTGCCTTCACACTTGTTACCCCATCTGTCACTCCCACCATGCTACCTACCCCTATACCTGTGACCCTCCAGGCCCTACCTGTCACCTGTCCCTGCCCCCACACTCACGATCCCTGTTTGCCAACAGCACCTGTCCCCTCACCTGCCGCTTCTCTGTGACCATCTTCCCCAGCTCCTTGCCATTCCCCGCCCCCCCGCCTTTTCCCCGGCCTGCGTCACCCCTCGCTTGCCTTCACCCGACCCTCCCCGTCGCATCTCACAGGTCAGTCCTGCCACCATCCCTACCCCTCTCACCGGCCTTTCCTCCCACCCCGCCCCGCCCCCAGCACGCGGCAGGACGACTTCTTCATCCTCCAAGAAGACGCGGCCGACAGCTTCCTGGAGAGCGTCTTCAAGACCGAATTCGTCAGCCTCCTGAGCAAGCGCTTCGAGGAGGCGGCGCGGAGGGCCCTGCCCCTCACCTTCAGCGACACGTACGCCCCCCCCCCCCCGCCTCCCCGCCCGCGTCCCCGGGCTGGGCTGAGCACGGCGCCCCCTCTCCCACCGCGCTTGGGGAGTGGGCCTCCCCGCAGCTGCCTCCTCTCCCCACAGACTACAGTTCCGAGTGAAGAAGGAGGGCTGGGGCGGAGGTGGCACCCGCAGTGTCACTTTCTCCCGCGGCTCCGGCGACGTGGCTGTGCTCAAGGCTAGCGGCCGGTCCCTCACGGTCGGCGTGGGTGACGGGCTGCCCAAAAGCTCCAGTGAGTCTGCGCAGAACTGGAGGGCGGAGCCAAAGAGGCGGGACCTGTGGGGGCGGGGCCAGCGAGGGGGACAAATCAAGGCCGTGGGGCCGGGTCGAGAGCAGGTGAGGGCCGTGGAGGGGTGAGTCTGGAGATATTTAATAGGGAGATCGCAGCCACGGAGAGGGCTGGGTCAGCGAGGTAACCAATGAGTGGGAGAGAAATGTGGAGGAGGCGGGGCCACGGAAGCGATTTTCCCCTCCCCACTATGGGCGGGACCAGAGAGCCAGGCCAATGAGAGGTGAGTCCCGGGGGGAGGAGCCAATTACTGGGCAGAGCCAGGGTTCCAGGGTCGGTGCTGATGGGACAGCCAGTGAGTCTGAGGGGGCGGGGGCCGGGGCGGAGCCACAGGGTAGACTGGACTTGTGGGCGGGGCCAAGAGCCTGCTGCGGTCTGGCCACCGTTCAAATTCCCATGTCCTTTCCCCTTTCAGAGCCTACACGGAAGGGAATGGCCCAGGGAAGACCTCGAAGGGCAGCCCAGGCCCCCACCCGGGCAGCCCCTGGGCCTCCCAGAGGTGAGAAGACGTGTCTTCCCTTGTCTTTTGCGTGCTCCATGACTTAAGTCAGACCTGCTGTCAGCAGAGTGGGCCACTCTGTTCTCTGCCCAGAGCTCTCCATAGCTCCCCATCTTCCACAAAATACAGACTAGGCTTAGTTTGATATTCAAAACCCTTCAGAATCCAACCCTAGCTAACCACCGACCTCTTCTCTCCTCCCATCTTCGACTCCTGTCATGCAAGCTACATCTTATTTGGCCAATTTAACCAATTTGTTCTTATCTCCAAGCCTTTGCTAGGGCTCTTTGCTCCTCTGGTCTCCCAAATTCTCTCTCAGCTTGACCTCCTATTCATCCTCCAAGACCCACCCACAAAAGCCCTCCTACAGAACAGGATAGAGGAAATCTTAACCCCTGAAGGGCCTCCCTCTGGGCCAGCACTTACCATGCTGAGTCGAGCATGTGGCTGGCTGCCTTCTCCCTCAGATGAGGAACTTGGAGCCAAATCCTCCCCAAATCCTCCTACCATCACCCTGATAAATGCCCCCACTCTTGCTCCTGCCGCAGGCCTGGACCGCAATGGGGTGCCCCCCTTGGCCAGAAGGGGGGACCTGCCCCTAGAGATCCCATCTGGAGGGGGCTTCCAGCAGCCTCCCCGGGGCCCTCCGTCGTCAGCCCTGAGGGCCAGCAGACGCCCCCGGGCACGGCCCCCCTCGGAGCACAACACAGAATTCCTTAACGTGCCTGACCAGGGTGTGGCAGGGTAGGTGAGGAAAGAGGGCAGCCCCAGGATGTGCACAGGGGGCAGGGGAGTGTCTGGACTCTGATGGGCGCTCCCTGTGCCCACAGCATGCAGAGGAAGCGCAGCGTGGGGCAGCGACCTGTGCCGGGCGTGGGCCGACCCAAGCCCCAGCCTCGGACACATGGCCCCCGGTGCCGGGCCCTGTACCAGTACGTGGGCCAAGACGTGGACGAGCTGAGCTTCAACGTGAACGAGGTCATCGAGATCCTCATGGAAGGTGTGTGTGTGAAACCCCCCATTCCTGCTCTCCTGCAAACCCCCCCCCCCCATTCTCCCGAGGAGAACAGAAGCAACCAGACCCATCTGGAGATATTCTCTTCCGGGCCGGTGGCTGCATACGCCCGAAGGCCTTGGGTCTGGAGGTTCCCTCCTAAGCCACTCTGGGGACTTGGCCTCACAGCAGCACACCCAATCCCTGGGCTTCATTTTTCTCTCCTGTCAAGCACAGGGCTAATAGCAGAACCTACCTCAAGAGACCCCTCGTGAGTAAAAACTGGGTCATGCCCAGATGACCCAGGCCACCTCCTACCTTAGTCCCCTGGGCTGCCCCCAGAGGGGCTTGGGACTCAACAGCACCCCATGCGGGTAAATGGGGAGCCCCAACGGGGTTATTAACTGGTCCATCATGGGGAGTGTGGGGAGGCGCCTGTAGGAAGAGACGATGAGGGAAGAGCACAAGAGAATAGTCTAGAATGTGACAGAGCGTGAGGCAGTGGCAGGAAAACCATGTGTCCATCCCTCCCTCCCTTCCATCTGTGGACAGTTCTCTTCAGCGTCTGCCTTCTGCCACGCCAGTGGAAACGAATAAGACAGGCGCAGAGCCAGCATGAAAGCTGTCTCCCGGGCAAGCGGGGTGCCGCCTCACACTCCCTTCGCACCCACAGATTCCTCCGGCTGGTGGAAAGGCCGGCTGCATGGCCAGGAGGGTCTCTTCCCAGGAAACTACGTGGAGAAGATCTGAGAGACGGCCCCGGATTCTGCCTCCTGCCTGACTGCCTGCCAGGCCCTGCCGGCAGGGGCCTTGTTTTCCTTGGCCGCATTGGCCAGGAGGTCCAGTCCTGTGGCGTCCAGCCCGGCCCAGGCTCTGGGTCACCATTGGGGCTGGGGTTCCCCCCTGCAGTCACCGCAGGGCCCTGGCCTCCCCCAGGTCACACGCATTGCCTCCTGGGTCAAACAGGGCTAACATCAGAATCTACCTCCCAGCTGCCTTGTGCATATACGTGAGTTGTGTCCCGTGGGCCAAGTGCCAAGCACAGTTGGGGGCACACCTTGACAGGTGAGATCCGCCCCCCTCTTTCTCTCGCCACTGAGGCAATAAACATTGGCCAGGTGAAAGCGTGGATTAATTTACTGAGCGTTAACGAGAACTACCATCTCACAACCCCATGAGGGAGGTGCCCCAAATATACCCCAATTGCAGGTGAAACAAAATGGAGGCTGGGAGAAGTTTCATCGTGTGCCCAAGATTCCACGGAGCCAAGCCTTGAACTCATGTATGCCCCCACCTGGCCTCTCCCAAAGCTGGAGTTTGCTCACTCACTGGCTCACCCACTGTTGGCCATGTGCATCCCTGCTTTCCTGCAGAAAATGGTCTGGTGGGTCCTGTCAGCTTTGAATCTGCAGCCCCCAGACCCATCTGGGACCTGCCTGGACCCCGAGGAGGGAGGCAGGTCCCACACAACCCCTCACAATGCACCCTGGGCCACCGCCGGCCCCTGCCCCCCACCCCATGTCTGTGCCCTCTTAGCTCTCACTCACTTGGGGTCAGGACTCGTTCTGATATTCCATGGCCCTGGCTTTCTGCACTTATTGTTATGAATTTAGGGGACCAGCCTGGCTACTGGTCTCCCCAGATGTTTCCAAATCAGTGATGGAGTCTGAGCCTTTCAGAACTCTCTGCAGATACAGCTGGAAACTGCTGGGGGTCCTGCCATGGTCTGAGCGTAAGGATCCTGACTTTCCAGATGGACACCCACTCTGTGCTCAGCCCTCAAAGAGCAGCCAGTCCAGGAGAGACAGAGCCAGACTCCTGGTGTCAGGACTGGGCCAGAGAAGGGCCAGGGGCAGGGGGAGGGAATGCAGAGAAGGAGCGGGCATTGCTGGAGGAGCCAAGAGATGGAAGAAAAGGGTTGGCGTGAGCAGATCTTGATGGGAAACACCACATACACCGATCTCCACTGTGACAGAAGTCCGGGCAGAGGACACCTACCCATGGGAGATGAGGTATCAGTGAAAGACTGTCCAGCAGAACCTTCTGCAGGTCTGAACCCTCTCTCTTCTGTACCTATCATGGGAAGCTGAGCGGGCTGCAAACAAACAAACAAAAAAATCACAAGGTTGCAGCTGGTCCTCACCAACTCTTTTATTAGCCAACAATTATACAAAAGCATTTAACCGGTCGCTTGAATGTCCCTGGTTTCCTCTATCTCTGGCGTTTGCCCCTCCACTGCCCAACCACCACTGTGTAGCTCTCTATGACACTTAAATGCTAGGACAGGCTGGGGAGGAACTGCATAAGCCACCAACCTCATCAGCTGGGCATTTCCTGGAGAGGACTCGGGGCTTCCGCCTCCCTTCTGTGTCCCTGAACTCACCATGCAGGTTGCCTGCCCCTTGATATTTTGGGGTACAGCCCTGGGGCCCCATTGCCATGGCAGTCAGCCCATTTGCAGGAAGTAGCACATTCTGGGCCTCACATCTAGGTTACAGCATCTTCAGACTGCAAACCTCAGAATCACCTTGGCCCTGCCCACTCCACAGCCCCACATCCTGTTGACTTCTAGAATTTCTTCAGCCTGGCCCCTCCTCTCCCTTCCTTGGGTGGCCTGTCCTTCTGAGGCTTCACCCCACCCTTCCCCAGATTGCACCAACCCCCCTCCACACACAAAGACACCTCCACCCAGCACCAAATGATGTTTGGGTTTTGTGTTAAGTTTATTTATTTTGAGAGAAGGAGAGACAGAGACAGAGAGAGCAACCAGGGGAAGGGCAGAGAGAGAGAGAGGGAGAGAGAGAGAATCCCAAGCAGGCTCCATACCCAGTGTAGAGCCCGACACAGGTCTTGATCTCACGAACCACGAGATCATGACCTGAGCCAAAATCAAAAGTTGGATGCTTAACCAACTGAGCCACCCAGGTGCCCCAAATTATGGTGTTTTTTTTTTTTGAGTTTTTAACTGTATTAATGACAAATTAAAAAAAACATTTTTTTTTAATTCAAACAGCACGTGTGAAAAGTCTGTCTCACCCTCACTTGAAAATCTGTTCCCCTCCCCAGTTTTTTAATGTCTCCTTCCAATAGTATCTCTGCATATAAAGGCACATAGGTACATCTTATGTACACAGATGAAAATACACTGCACATAAAGTCTATACTTGCCCAGAACTCAAGAGACACCTCTTGAATATTACACAATGTATTATAGAGATCTGAGATCAAAGATCCACTTTACCATCCCCCCAATTGCCCACCCTCCAAACACCCAGGAATCAAATGGTGGACCCTCCCCCTGCTAAAAATTCATCAATGGTGAGAACAGAAACCACACTCCTCGCTCTCTCTCCATGGTTCACAAGGCGCTGTGTGACCAACCTTCCCTGCACCAAGTTCACTTTCTGACCTCCATACCCTGCTTCCACTCTGTTTCAGCAGTAAACCGATCTCCCCACTAATCCTTGAAAAAGACAAGCTTGTCTTTCTCCACCTCAGGACATTTGCACCCACTATCCACTTCCCAGAGTCCCCTGACCTTCCATTTGTTCACTCCTTCCTGACCATCAGATAACAGCTCAAAAGTCAACTCCCAGAGAGGTTTCTCTTCCATGTATGTTTTTTTTTTTTTTTCCCTTTGTAGCACTTAATATAATCTAAGATGGTTTTTTGTATTTGTTGATTCATTGTCTGTCTCCCTATTTTAAAATGTGAGCAGGCCCCTGAGGCACAGTCCCTTGCCCTGAGGGCAAGGATGTTTGTTCTCGGGTACCCAATGCCTAGCACACAGTTGGCGCTCAAGGAATGTAGGATGGATAGGTGACTCATTCCACCCAGGGCTCTCCATCCTTAAACTACACCTGTCCTGAGGTCAGGTTTCTTGCCCTTGGCTTGTTTCTTGCCCTTGGCTATCACAAGGGGCCCATTTCAACTTCAGAAATAAGTTCATTGACAATTTTGACGATCATTGGCAATTTCCCTCTAAAGAGGCAGCCCAATCATCACGACCTCTTCAAACAGAAGAACGGCTGTGTGCCCCCTTTCGAGAGCTGGTGACGGGAAGGGAGGGGATAAAGATACCCATTTTGCAAAGGAGAACAGAGGTTCCGAAGGATTTTCAGCCAGGATCCCTGGGCACAGACTTTTAAAGGGGAACTCTTTGATAGGCCCGGGCGGGCTTGCAAACCCGTAGCGAGCGCCGCCTATACGGCTCTCCAGAAGGACCCAGATCCCAGGCTCCGCCCCCTCGGGGGGCGTCTTGCGCAGGGCCTGCCCCACTCTCGCGAGAGCTGGCAGGCGGAAAATGGCGCCGACGTGAGCGCGAGCCCGCGGCCGTCCAGGGAGTCGCCACAGCCTCAGCCGGAGCCGCCGGAGTCGCAGGAACAAGAGGCTGAGCCGGGTCGAGGATGGTGAGCGCGGCGCCGGGGGTTCGGGCGCGACGAACCAGCGGGTACTGGCGGGGCGCGGCCCTGTCGCATGCGCACCGTCCGGTCGACCCCGCCCCCACATCCGGGCACTCTCCCGCCGCTGGCTGTCACTTGGGGAAGCACCCCACCCCTGCTTCCTGGCCTGGCTTCGACTGGGCCACGCCTACAGCGCTTGGGCTCCGCCCCTGGTCCTTTTACATCCGGGTCTTAGCACCCCCAGGTTCGACTGCACAGCTGGAGCCGGGAGGGTGTATATTTCCGTCCTCACACGATCCACTGGACCACTCCTGGCCCCTCCAGCATGTTCCTAGCGGCGCCCTATTCAGAGCCCCGTCTGTATAATCTTCGTCCCGCCCGCTCCCTGTAGGCCACGCCTCTGCCGTGTAAGGGACATCCCACCGGCCCTAGTTTGGGTCGAGGGACTTCTTTCACATGAGTAATTGTTGACATACCCCTTTCTGCGATTGGGTCACCTTCCAGTTCCCTCTCAGAGGGTGGAACGCAGAAGGCTCAATCCACTCTTTCCCTCCTGCCCTCCCTTGATGATGATTCCCTAGGATGGGGGCTGACCATCCAGGTGATGTCTCCAGGGCATTCGCTGCTTCACAAATGTCCAGCGGTCTTGGCGGGGCGGGAGGGGTGACCCTGGCTGATCCAGGCCGACGTGGGCCCAGAGGGGTTCTCCCTGCTTTTTCCTTGCACTAGGAGGAGGAACCCGCGGGGCCCAGCCCGGACATGCCGGCCACTGCAGAGTCCAGCTTCAGTGAGACCGACAAGGAGGTGTTATCCCCAGTCGCGGCTGCCGCAGCCCCCCCCTCTTCCATGGGGGAGGACCCAGGCCCTGACCGGGCAGCCACACCCCCAGTGTGGGACCGCGGAGGGCCTGGAGGGTCCCAGCAGGGTGCTCCTTCAGCCCCAGACAGTGGCCAGCCTGGCCCTGGATCTGGCCTTGGCCCAACCAGCACAGTCTCGGGGACCAGCGAGGACCTGAGGCCTCCCAGACGACGCCAACAACCAGGTGATCTTTGATGGAACCTTCTGCGGGGGGCGGGGAGGGTTACAGGCCTTGGAATAATGGAGAGGAGTACAGAGTATCTCCAGACTTGGGGCTCATCTAGAGGGAATCACCATTGAGCACCAAGTGCGCGCCAGGCTGTGGCTACAGCGATGAGCCACGCCAGCTCAGCCCCTGCCCTCCAGTAGCTCAGTCTGGTGGGGGAAGCAGAGGGTAAAGGCCTTGATGGGAAACCAGTAGCGTCATTCCAGCCTCTCTGGGGCAGAACTCCGGACAGCGTGGATGGGGGGAAGGGTGAGTGACACCCCCTCCACTTCTGTGCATCCTTCAGGGAAGCAGATACCCTGCTCCAGCCCTGGATGCTGCCTCAGTTTCCCCAGTGTTCGAGACCTGGCACAGCATCTGCGTACCCACTGCCCACCCACACAGTCCCTGGAAGGTAGGGCCAGAGCAGGTGGTGGGGAGGCAGCTGGGGTGGGAGGCAGGCAGAGCCTCCAGGCCAGCCTTGGCCACCGGTCTCCACTCCTGTGTCCTTCATCCGTGCCCCGCCAGGCAAGCTCTTCCGCTGTTCCGCCCTGAGCTGCACCGAGACCTTCCCCACCATGCAGGAACTGGTGGCACATGGCAAGCTGCACTACAAACCCAATCGCTACTTCAAGTGAGACCCTGACCATCTCGACTTCCACCTGTGCTCCGTGACCAGGCCCCAGGCAGCTTCTCCCACCCCTGGTTTGATTGCCACCACCTGGGGTCCAGGCCTTTGTCCCTTTCTAGTCAAGGGGGTTGGACCCGGCAGTGGGCGCAGCCTCGAGCAAGGCCTGCCCTTACCTGCCCTAAAGGGACTGGTTGCTGGAGCGAGTCCCAGAGACGCGGAGGCCCGACGAGCTCGGAAAGGGGCGGAGCATACGTGCCGTGTCTCCGCCCAGTCCCTCCTTCCCTGCCTGGAGGAAAACCGGCCACCTAAGTCAAAATTGAGACCTCCTATCTCGTTTTCCCAGGGCAAGGACTCGGAGGGGTCTGGAAGGGTCGCGGCCACACTGGGGGGGCGCTTAGAGCAAGCTTCTCCCCCGCAAGTGGGGTGGGGGATATGTGATTTGGGCTTTATGCTCTCTTCCTTACTTCCCGACCTCGCGCGGCGGCCCCCCAGGTAGTATCGGATAGGCCCTACCCTTGTCCCCCAGGAGACCCAGCCCAGCCTTGTGCCTGCCCCCAGGTGTGAGAACTGCCTCCTGCGCTTCCGCACGCACCGCTCGCTCTTCAAGCATCTGCATGTTTGCGCCGAGCATGCGCAGAGCCCAGCCCCGCCGCCACCCCCTGCCCTCGACAAGGAGCCCCCGGCGCCCGAACGTCCCCAGGAGTCAGACGCTGCGTCCGCGCCGGGCCTGCCGTTCCCGCTGCTCGAGCCCTTCACGACCCCCGCCCCCGCCCCCACCGGGCCCTTCCTGCCCTACTTGAACCCCGCGCCCTTTGGCCTAACCCCCCCGCGCCTGCGCCCCTTCCTGGCTGCGGCGCCCGGGCCGCCCGCCTCCAGCGCCGCAGTCTGGAAAAAGAGCCAAGGTGAGCGTGGGAACAGGGCCGCCTGAAGGGTGAACTGAGCTCGCGCAGACTTCTGACCTTGACCCGCCCGTTTACCTCAGGTGCCGGCGGCAGCCCGCGAAGACCCCAGGGCGGCTCCGACGCACCCTCAGGTGCGTGCAGGTGACCACCAGGGACGGGTGGAGGGGAATTTCTGTCCTGCGCCCTGCCAGGCCCAGGGGATGGTGGGAGGCAGCGTTGCCCACCCCTTCCCAGGTGGCCACAACTGCTACCCACGAAATACAAGATTTCGCCTTAAAAATTATTGGCCCCCGAGCCTTCGTCTGCGCCGGCGTTTCCGTGTAAAACCCGCGCCCGGTTCACGAGTCCTTCCCCCTGCGGTGGCTCCAAGGGGGTAGGAGCGGGGGATTCGGATACAAGTTTAGTGTCCCCAGTTACGGAGGGGTGGGACGCGATCCGGGGAAGTGGATCGGCCAGACCAAACCCGCCCGTGCGCGGGAGCCGGTGGGGAGGCGGGGAAAGTTCTGACCCGCACTCGTCCTCGTCCGCCATCCTTGGGGGTGGAAGGGTCTTCCGGGACTGACGGGGGCCCCGCCTGCCCGCAGGGCACGCGGCCCCGAGCCGCATCGTGTGGGAGCACACGCGCGGCCGCTACTCGTGCATGCAGTGCGCCTTCTCCACGGCCTCGCGGCCCGCCATGACACTGCACCTGGAGGACCACCGCCCCATCGCCCCCGCGGCCCCGGCGCCCGGGCAGCCGCGCCCCGACGCGCCGCCGGGTAAGGCCGAGGAGCGCGCGGGTGGGGAGGGCGGGGGCCCCGAGGCGAGGGGCGGGGCCGAGGCTCAGGCGCCCCCTCCTCTGCCCCACCCAGACCCGGCCCCGCTTGCACCCAAGGTGTCTCCGCTGCTGGCAGAGGGGGAGTGTCCGGTTTTCTCGCCGTTCTGAATCCGGCCGCGGGCGGGGGGGGGGGGGGATCGGGGCAAGCGGAAGATCGGAAGAGCGTCGT